TGGCAGCCTTGCAAGCAGCTTCCTCTGCTGTGCCTTTCTACAGTGTTGACTGTGTCTTGGAGCAGCCAACCACGCACCAAAACTCCAAACAATGAGCCAAACTGAACCTCTCCTCTGAGTTACAGGTGCCTGGTACTCTGTCCCAGCAATGGGAGAGAAGACTAATACAGACAGCTTATGTATTTTACATGTCATTTTACATTACAGAGTCATAAACCCAATTTACTTTTTTGAGACAAGGTCTTGTTATGTAGTTCAGGCTGGTCTCAAACTGTGGAGCTCAAGCTGGCCTCTAACCTGAGGCACTGTACCTACCTTGGCCTCCTAAGTGCTGGGATTAAAGGCATGTACTACTATGGCTCAGCTTCAATTTATTTTTGAAATCTTACGATTTGCTAGGACAAAGGAACATTTCTGAGCCAACTGCCTCTTAAAAAAAAGGTTTCTTAAGTATACTTTATTATGTTGAGGATTGGGAAATAAGTAGAAGTTGGCATGACTAGGTGTCAGGGCTTTAATTAAAAAGGAATTTTCAGGTTGGGGATGTAGCTCAGTAGTAGAGTGCTTGCCTAGCATTGCAAGGCCCTTGGCTTGATCCTCAATACCACAAAAATAAATAAAACAAAATAAAAAAGGGTTTTCATGGTGACTTCAAACTCATCTAAAAGAAGAAGAGCCAAAGAAATTTATCACAACAGGTATATTCTAAATATAAGTCTCTATAGCTAATCAGGTTTAATTACAGAAGGTAATTCCAAATATTGTTCTGATATTATTAACAATTTTCTCAGTACTTAAAACCCTACCATATCCATATTTTCAACTGCTTAGGTAATATGAATAGCATACTTCTTAAATTTTAGGATTATAAAGTTAACTGCAATGTCATACATCCCTTAAAAACTCACACCATGTAATATTCAACACTGGTAACAGAACCAAATGACTTCTCAAACAAAAAATGATTATTTCTGTTCACTGACATCAAGCCCTACAACTGATAACTAGCACTGAGGAAAAAAAGATTTCCTTTGGTAAAAGTAGAAAAATGCCCTGCAGCATAGAGAGAAGTTGGCCAATCATTCTAGATCTCTAAATAGCTTCACCCTTTTCACATTAAAGATGACTGATGCCATGTCATAAGTTCTTGCAAAGATTCTTTGATGCAAGAAGTCACTCAATAAATCAAGTTTCATTTCTGAATACACTGAATGCCAGATCAGTGAACAGACTCCAAAACTGTTGAACAGGGTCAATAAATAATGTCATGAAGAAGTTAGGTTTTTACTTTCAGAGTCTGGGTCCAAACTGCCAACACTTAAGTGACTAAATCAATATTCTTATTCTTTATGAACACTTTATATGAAAAAAATCTGTAATAATGTTTCTATAATGAAAGTCTGTCACGTAATATAAGGCTAGCTGGGCAAAAATGTAATTAAACGTATATAAACAGGTTTCTACTTCTGTCCAAGACAGACTAACAGGGAATACATTTATTCTTTTGCCCAAAACAACTTGGAAAAAAAAATAAATAAAGACATATGAAACATTTTTCAAGACAGTGGACATCAGGCAACCAAGAACAATGATTGCTGACAGATGAGAAACAATCCTAAGTCCAGTAGTTGTCCCAGCTTATGCACTTGAAAGAGTTTCCAAGCTACAAGACAGAGGAGAGAGAACGTAGGTGGTGCAAAGTAGTCTCCCTGAGTTGAGAAGATGGAACCACATCTGGAGACAAGGCTTCTAGAGCACAAGGCAGAGTACACCAAAGAGAACAGAACTTACACAAAGAGAAATATATGCAGAGGACATCCGTCAAATCTTCACCTCAGTACTTATCTACACCTGTGTGTGGGAAAACTACCCAAGGACACTTAAGGCACCACCAGAAGTATTAAGAAGAACAATGCCAAATAGCTCCTGCTCCTGCTCCCACTAGCCACAGTGCTGAGTTTTGTCTCAATCGTGCAACCAAGTGGTACTACCTAACAAAACTTCAAAGACAAGTCCTGAAAAGATCAAATCGATTTGTTTACAACTAATTTAACTGCCTTCCAGAACAAGCTCAAGATTTTTATATTTAAATGAATACAAAAATATCCAATACACAACAAGGTGAGATTTAAATGTTTAGCATCAAATAAAAAATCACCAGGCATGCAAAAAAGCAAGTACAATCAATAATGAGGAGAAAAATCAATCAACCAAAATCAACTCAATAAAATGATAAAGAATTAGCAGGCACGGACGTTAAATCATTTATAGCTGTATTCTACATGTTCAAGACGCTGGAGAAGGGACAGAGTGAAAAATATAAAAAGGAGGAATAAATTTGTAGAGGTTAAACCATAATGTCTGAATGATACATATGCTGGGTAGGATTCAGAGCTGATTAAACGTTACAGAAGAAAAGACTAATAAGTTTACATATCACAACAGACTGTAAAATAAACCATAAAAGAGAAAGAAAAACAGTACAACTGAAATGAACATCAGGAAGACAATGTCAAGCAATCTAATAAACATGTAATCGAACTTCTAAAAGGAGAAAAGAGGAAAAGGGATGATATACATATATAGATAGATACATAGATAGTACACATAAGAAACAATGGCTGAAAATTCCCAACGTTCATAAAAACTGTAAGCCCACAGATCCAAGAAATTCAACAAACTTAATGCACAAGAAACATGAAGAAAAATATACACTTTCCTTTCCAAAAGGCTCTTGCTCACAAATTCTATAACCAAACATAATCAGATTAATTTTTAGGTTGACTTACTGGGTAGAGTTTCAAGTGACACTTAGAGTTCATTAAATCACACGATCATTTGAGTAAGTACATTTAACAAAAATCTTAATGATTTCAAAATTAGCAGAATATGCCTTTTAAAATAATGCATTGTTTTGTTGCCCTATCATTTGTATTGATCTGATTTTAGCAAGTTATTTTTTAAAAAGTGTATTTGTCTTCATTTTTTAAATTTCCTTTTCCTTTAATTTATATAGGTCATTTGCAACAGAATGAGGACACTAAGAAAACTTTTAAAGAAACTGAGAGGCGGAACTGAAAACACAGAAGTAGCTTTGAGGTTTAGAAAGCAACTAGCCCTTCCAAAAACCCCAGCAACTTGGCAAGCACTATTGTAGAACACCATTATTTTCAAAATATACATATTTTTAAAAATATAAAAATGTACTCAAAGTGGAAACAAGCTGATGTGTTTGTTTTTAGCACCTTGGTTAACTACAAAGACTTAAAAAAAAAAAACCACTATTCTTTCAAGAAAGAACTATACAAATAAAAACTATTAAAATGGAAAGATAACGTATCTTCCTATTTTTATGAACACATCTATTTTTTAAGATTCAGCACACAAATTCAAGATTTTTTGCCCAAAAATATGTAAGTGACATGATGGGAAAGTTCTGGGGAGTTATCATAATGGTTTCCTTTGATAGCGTACTTCCTAAAATAATAATCAGTTTAATTATCCTACCATTTTGCATGGAAGATAGTAGGATAGTTCAAAGAAAAATTAATTCTATGAGTTAGCTACTAAAAATGTATTAACTAACCCTGGAAATAACATCTACACTTTTTCCTTTCCAAACAAAAAATATATACACATTTGATAGCAAATTTTTTTGAGTCTATACTAAAAACATTTTTAGAAAAAGCATAATAGTATAATACTTCCTTGTAGGATCAACACATATATAAGTGACAATATACGAATTTCTATACATCCAAAGTACAAATCTGCGAACACACAGAGAATTTGTTTTGTTTTGAACAGGGTCTCGCCATACAGTTTAGGCTGGCCTTGAACTCACTATGTGATTCAGACTAGCCTTGTACTCCTAACTCCTGGTGATTCTCCTGCCTCAGCTGCCAGAGTGCAGGTAAGGCTGGGATTACAGGTGTGCTCCACCACGCCCAGCTTGACTTCCACCTCTTTTAAACAGAAAAATAATTTCTAACAAAATACTGAATTTTATATGTAAAGTTATTAGCAGTACTTAGTCTTTAGTGACAAGCATTTATAATGCACAAACTTCCACCTATATAAAGAGGAATGTCTTTAAATCAAACGCTGCACAACGTTCTTGCGATGAGATTCTAGTCAAGAGAAATAAAACTAAATACACATTACTTCAGGTACTACTGTAATATTCAGCCTGATAACCTACACTGATGCTCTCAGAAGTATACATGCTAAAATACCTATACAATAAAAACAGACCCAGCCACGGACATGCTTTCAAATTTTCAAGTCCGAAACACATTCTTACAATACCACAAACATAGAAGACAAAAGATTTGCCTATTAAGTCATCTGCTTGTTAAGACTTCAGTTATTTGCATTTAAAAACCTCTGAAAGTACCTTTAAAGGATTCCCAGCAGAAAGAAAAAAAAAAGATTCCCAGCAGACTAACAATTCACACAATAAGTCATCTAATCGGACTTAATTATAGGCATTTAAATTATTTGCTACAGCAACAGCGCTCTTCACCAATCACAACTGTTTGAAATTCTGTTCTGCACTGTTACTACTTCACCAGTTAGTAAGAAAGGTTAGTAAGAAACATTTTTCCATGAAATGCACCTAACTTCATAGTAGGTTTTTTTTTTTCCCCTTTGAAGAAACTAGATTCTCTTCTCCACCCCCCACTCCTCCTCTACCCACCTCTGCTTCGACCAAATTACCAAAGACAGCACAATGCGCTTTGCATTTCGGCACTGGTGACAAATGACAATAACAGGGTTGACAGAATGCAAGATCCAAGTTTCACAATTTTAACAGGTATCATTACGAGGTTGTGATCAATGGGTTGGGCTCGTAACATAATCTCCTTTTAAGATACAATTCTTAAATCACAATTTTTCTGGCCAAACAACCAAATTAAGGGTGTAAAACATAAAGTCTGTAAGTTCACAGTACGCTATTTTTTAAAAACAAGTTACCGAGAAAAGCAGAAAGCACTTACATTTGGAGCATGACCTGGTTCAGGAAAACCCCGTCCACCAAAGCCACGTACTCATCCAGGTTGGTCCCACTTCCCGCGGCCAGCGGTCCGAACGTCTTCACCTAGACACAGATCGCGAGGGTGAACGCCCACCGCCCGCAGCCGCGAATAACTGGGGAGCAGCTGCGGGAGGCACTTACCCAAGTGACCAAGGGGCTGGCCATGAACTGCTCCAGGAGGGGAGTAAAAATCTCGTTCTCCATTTTATAGATGATGTTTTTGGGGATAAAGAAAAAAAAAAGGAACTACCACAAAAATACGCTTAGGGAATCAGTCGCGCAACACCGGCAAGCAGATCACTGGAGGCCCATCGCGAGGAAAATCCCCGGAGGAGGGGCGCGGCGCCCTCCTCCAAAAGCCCCGCGGCGGCAGCCGCAGCCCGGGGGTCGACGTGCGGAGCCCCCGAGCGGGAGCCTGCGCTGGGAGGTCTGCGCCCGGCGA